CGAGATCGAATGACACGAAGGAGCCGAGGAAGGAGTGCGTGAAAGGTAGGAAGTTACCCTCACACCAGCGAGCTCCCATCATTTTATCAGATCAAAATATCGGAACTTCTGATCCGTCCAGGAAGGGAAGGTCGTCGAATGAGTGAGGTCGAAAAGTGACGAAAGACTCGAAGGAGCAACGTATGAGGGAGAGAGGGAACCAGCAGCCGAAGACCTTGCCTCCCTCTCCCTTTTAACGATGCAAGTGGGATTCGCTTGAGGCAGAGATCGTGCGATGTGGGAGGAGGTCGTGCGCGACGTGCGACATGGGAGGGGCAGAGCATGTATTGTATTTTTTTTCTTTTTTTTTTTGGTTCGGTACAGGTCAACAAAGATAATCTTCTTTGTGTTTCCCACAAAGAAATTGTTGCAATTTAGGATCTCTATTCTGTGGTTTTGATGATGACAAACATTATTGATTGAATTGTTATTTTTCTCACTAAATATTTTAGATATTTCTTTTGTCTGTGAGCACTAACATTTCAGGTAAGATATACACCGCTCAAGACCGTTGAAGACTCAAGATTGAGTACAATAGTATGTGAAAGAGTTTATAATTTTATTATCTTTATTTTTACTTCTTGATTTTAGCCACATAAAAGTGTATGCAAATTGGTGACCATGCACACACACAGGGGGAGAGAAAAAATATTTTAAACTTAAAAATTTTTGAACTAATTGTAATGTACAATTTTCAACCGTATTGTACGATCTGTTATCCGAAAATATGCTTAATAACTAATTGAAAAAATTAGTTCATGTGAACTAATCGTATTGTACGATTTTGATCGTACTGTATGATTCGTTACGATCTGAAAACCCTAGCCGCCGGATTAATTTAAGTAATATCTTGAAATTTGATAGTTGAATTAATCGTACTGTACGAATATTTGAAATCTTGCTAAAATTAACCCCCGTAATTAATCCATCAAATCATAGTTTAATTAATGATAGTTGATTGTATTTTACGATATCGATCGTACCAAACCATTAGCAGAGACGAAATTTGGTCGTCCCAAAGATCGTACCAAACAGAACTATGATTTTTGAACTAATCATACTGTATGATATTCATATTGTACTGAACGACCAACTTGAAATCAACTAACCGTACTGTACGAAGAGAGCAATACGAGACAATTAGTATAGACGATTTTCAGTCGTCCCAATAATCGTCTTGTACGAATAAAGGAAATAGAACATATCGTACTGGACAATCTATTGATCGTACTGTACGATTTGTTCATAAAATTTGAACAATTTGTTTGAAAGCTATTTACATCGTACTGGATGGGAAAGGTTTTGAACTAATCGTACTATATGAACAATGGCAGCTAACTTGAATTTTTAGGGTTTCTTGAAGCCTAATACTTAAGTTATGTTTTAAGATTTTCTTACAATAAGAGAGGAACATGTGACAGAAGGAGGAACGTGTGACTGAAGGAGCTCTGAGAGGAGCTTTTGAGAAGAAAATCAAGGTTTGAGAGAGGAAGGAGAAGGTGAGCTTGAGCATGAGGGAGTAGTGTGAGGGGATCACACAGTTGCTTCAGGCTAGTTGCACCCTTACTCCTCCTATGACCCTGGTGAGTCTTTTGGAAGCTCTAGGGAGAGAGGCTTCTTAGTCCAGTCCTCGAGGTTCTCTTCATTCTCCAGGAGGAAGAAAAATGAGCTAAGGTTCTCTGTCATCACTATAAGGTTCTCTGTCATCACTATGAGGAAGAAAAACAAGTCGAGGTTCGATACCGTCATCAGGAGGGGGACATAACGTCCGACACTCCGCCACATCAAAGGTTCTGTGAAAGTATGTAAAGGTTTCTATGACTTCCTATGAGAGAAAAAAGAGAGTCACTTTGTTTTAGTACAAATTCTCAAACCGGAGGACTCCAAGAAGTGAACGTAAGTCAAGGTTGACTGAACCACTAAAAAAATTTCTAGTGTGTTTTTTTCAATTTCACAATTTTGCATTTTTTGTATTTCATTTGCGCTAATAACAATTTGGAAAAAATGTTGATTATTTTTTCGTCACTTAGATCAAAATTTCATCGTCGTAAAATTTAATATTTTTGGATAATATCTCTCGCTTCCGCAATCAATTAAGATTTGGCATTTTAAACTACTGAAATGTTTTTCAAAACTATTGTTATTGTTATTTTGAAGTTAAGAAAACTTTTTGAAGCGTCAATTTACTCCCCCTATTGGGGAGCCTCATACTAGTTTCATAAGATTTAACAACTTTCACGAACTTTCAGAAACATCACCATTGAATAAGACCATTAAATAAAATTCTTTTCAATCAGGTTGTCGTTGGTGAAGGGAAGAATACAAGTCTATAATGGAGCCGTCTCATTTAATAGAATAGAAAGATCAAGGCTAGATGCAATGTTTAAAATTGCGTATTCGGGTATTGAGGCGTTTTTCATTCGTGAGGCGAGGCGTAAGCCTTAAGGCGTTTTGAGGCATAAGCCTCAAAATCAAAAGATTGCGTAAACATAAAATGATAAATTTTTTATATACTAATGAGTGAATAATATAAAACATAAAAAATCATAAGATATTAAGTGAAATCAAAATATCCCAATAATAAGACAACATGAAATATATTTCAACTCAAAATTTTATTTTCCCAAATCCCAATATTCTTTTCATTAACATGTAATTCAAATTTTCAAAAATAAATAGCAATGACATACCACATAAGAACTCATAAGTCATCAGCACTGTCATCACTAAGGGGTTCTTCATTTGAATCATCATTATGATGAAGTTGAACTGCTCTCTCCCCTTCCTCCTCTCCTATAGAGTCCAATGTCGGGCATTTACTTCAAGATTTATGTAAGTTTTAATATATATAGCGTGAGGCGTAAGCCTCATGCCAATGAGGCGAGGCGGGCCTCAACCAAGTTGAGGCGCAAGCCTCATAAAAAAAACTTGAGGCGTAAGCATCGAGGCGTTTTTTACTGGAATTGCGCAAAGGCGGGCCTCAAGGCGAGCCTCATATTGCGCAATTTTAAACCATGGCTAGATGTCATCTTGAAGTAGGTGCTTCCATTGTTGCCAACCATGAGAGACGAACATAAGAAAATAGGACGGAAAAAAAAATAAAATGAAGAGCTAAGAAAATTTCTTTAATGCCATACGAAAATAAGTGAATCATAGAGTACAAGTTAGTTTCAAAGAATAATAGAGGAGAATGTAATCCACAATTTCCTCTAGACAACAAATAAACACTTTCCTAAATAAGAACAACAATACAGGAAATAAAATAAGACATAATGATCAAAAAAGAACAAACAACATTAGCTTGAATCCATTAGCTAGATGGAGCACAAAAAAATGAAACCACCAAATACTGGGAGCAATGAGCTAGAATGAAGTAGAATGGAACCACCTTGAATATGTGAATCTATGGATTATATCAACATTCAATAACATCTAATATTATGACATCTATTATTTTATAGTCTATGACATGATAAAAATGCCATATTTACATATAGATCTTTGTGTTGTTACTCTATCAAAATTTTCAATAATTAGCATTCATATTGCCATTTTCACTATTATGCTGACTGTAATTTAGAATTGTGATGTTCCCATTAAGTTAGATTATATGTTTGCATACAACACACCCTAATTAGTTAATGATTGTTTTTTCAAGAACGCCTCTAATAGAGTAGACAAGTCATGGAAGGGATTTTGCGTACAGCTGTTCAACACCTTTTGTCTGGCACATGTATGACTATGGTTGATGCATGGTGTTAGTTTTAAACATTAGTTTAGTGGCTCGTTTATGCTTTCGATGATTTCTTTGGATGGTAGTACATTAAGATAAATTGTTATATTAATAGTATGTGATATATTTATGAAGTTGTAAATTGTGCATGTTGTAATCATTATGTTGTTATACAAATATACATTTTGGTAACAGTGGATTGGATTCACATGGTTAGTTCACCTCCTTTCATCATGGTCATCCATTCCCACCGCAGTTTATCTACATCCCCAGGACTATCATAATATTGCCACTATAAAACTATCTTACATAACTCGCAATACCCCATACAAAAGAAACAACAAATTAATATCAAAATCTAATATATTGCTAATTACTAAAAAACAACAAACTAAATCACACATAAATCATAAAAGTATGATTTGAATGCTACTTGATACCATCATAAGCACTCTATGTGCTCTGAGGTTCGACATCCTCTTTGAAAGCCTACAAACCATTCCTCCTGCCTGCTTTCTAGAGTTGTACAAATGGGCTCAGACTTATCCTGCCTCTTCTTTTGCCATCTTCAAAACTTTGAGGAAGAGATCATTGAAGCCAAAGGAATTTTAGGAACATTACAAGAATTTGATATTCAAACCCATAAAGTCTTTGATTACAACTTTATAATGTTTTTTAAGGTTTCATTTTTTACTTTCAGACATTAAATCATTTAATTGTATTTTTCATAATGACCAATTGATTTCTCTCGCTCTTAATTCCATGATTCAGGAAAATAAGGAGCTCAAGGCTTGATTTTGTTCGCATTGTTTTGTCAATATTTGTCAAAACAAACAACAAATAGCAAGTAAAAGAGGGACAAACAAAAAGAAAAATCAACCTGAGTTCTTAATGGGTAGATCCGTGTATAAGGAAAAGCCGTTATAGCCGTAAGACATTGAATTGCTGTTTCTCGAACAAGCTGAAAGCAAAACAAACTTATGAAAGTGAAATAAATAAAATCATTGATAATCCCATTTAAGAATGAATAATAGAATACATAAAAAATGTATTGACACAGCAAGCTTCTAACTATAATGCCATGCGGGAACAGAAGTAAAAAAATAACATATGGAAGCGCCTGTGATAAGCTTGTCCTGTGAATGTTAAAACTTAACCAAAGTGAAAGCAAGGTCTTGAGTATCATGTCAGTGCTCTATGATCAGCACTATAAAGATTCATCGCACTGCAATGAAGATCGATTATCATGGGAAGCAGTTATTTTAATTACTCCATGTGTTCATAATATGGCATGAGTTATGAACAGTAACAGAAGCGAAGAAGATGATTATGGTGTCACCACCAAGCAACCGACAAACCCATGACTCAGAAAGCACTAATATTTATAATAAACGTTACTATCTTGTCACATTTCCAATCACTCTAGTCATTCCCATAAACAAAACATGAAATAGGCTTTATCAAGGCTTTATAAGCGCACGCAGAGAGAGAGAGAGAGAGAGAGAGAGAGATACCATCATGTGAGGGTAAGAAAGCAACTTAATCAGGTGATCTATAACTATATGAACGTAGCCTATGATATCCTCTTTTCCTGCAATAAAATAAATTTACATGAAAAATAAGATTACTGCAATCCATAACAATAAAAAATAATTTCATAAACCTTTTCTTCTGTTCATCTTACGACAATAATGGCAAATAGATAACTGTGAGTTCAAGGGATTTGTTTGCCTGAGCTTTTCTTGAAATGCCTTAAAAGGTCAAACAGCCATGAAAGCCAATCAATCCTTTCACAACAAGAATCAAGACAAGTTCGTAAAAACAGAAGAGGATGATGGAATGTTTGGATCCTTAAGTCAACACAAAACTATTATGAATTCCACGATTTAATCAACTCAAAAAGATTCTTACAGAGCCACCCCCTTCTCCCAATTACTGTTGCTAGACACGGGAGATAGTTTAAAAGTAGAGAAAAGTAGAGAAAATGCAGATGATGGTAAGAGTTTGGAGGTAAGAAAATAACTGATGTATGATAAGCAGAGACTATTCCAGGAGAGACCGGTCCAGCCGGCCCAGCCCTTCGGCCGGCTTAGGCAATAAAGCAGGCGAAAATCTGCTGGTCTACAGGCTTCAAATCCCGCCCCCCTTGGGGTGGGATCAACTACCAAACTAAGCGAGTAAGTGTGAGGGATGTTTAGTCCTTTTGCATTATTCTTATGTTTGCTTTAAGTAGAAGTTTATATTAAGATTAGGGCATCTTTTTGGTAGCTGATTTCTGAGTAATGTTGGTGTTCTTGGGCTCTAGCAGTGTCTAGAAAATTTTGGAAAGATTGATCCTCCTCTCGAATAGAAGATCGCTTGTATCTTATTGTTTTCTTCTTCACTACTACGTGATTCTTGTTGTTATTTGTGTTGTGTGAAATTGTGTGGTGAAATTTGGCTGAATTCACATCCTTGGTAGGAATCTCTTGAGTTCTTCCCATCAATGTCCTCAAGAGACCATAGTAGTTGCTAGCAACATTGGACTGCCAAGAAGAAACAAAAAAAAGTGGATCCTTTGAGGGATTAACAAAGAAAAAAAACAATGGGAAAAAAGTAGTAAAAGAGAGGGGGGAGGAATAAGGAGAGATTATTGGCAGAGAGGATGAACCAAAATGCCAATGTGGCTGCAATAATAAACTTCGAAAGGAGAAAGTGAAGAGGAAAGCTTTGAGGAGGCACAAACTTCGCTTAAAAAACCTTAAGAGGACTAACAACCGTGAAAGCCAAACAATCTTTTCAGAAGAAGAATCAAGACAAGTTGTAAAAATAAAAAAAGAGAATAGAGGATAGCCAAGCATGGATCCTTAGGCTACCAAATAGTTATTATGAATTCACCTTTTGATCAACTCCAACGGATTATTAGATTGACTACTTCAGTACCAAGCACCATAATAGAATCATCCCCTTCCCCCGATTACTGCCATTTAGAACCATCCCCTTCTCCCAATTAATGTCATTGCTGGACCATACTTGTCAATGGAGAATAGCGCAGCATGCGCAAAGTTCCCAATGGAGACATGGCGCATAGTGCACAACGCACCACGTGCCATTTTGAACACGGTGCAAAATAAGAAATCATTATAAAAATCATTATATGGATCTTATTTTAGAGTGTCAATCAAGTTGGGTAAGGCTTGGTTGAATATGTTTGTGGTCTAAAGTTTAAACCATTAAAGTGAGCTTCAAGTTCGTCCAAAATTTCTACTAAAACAAAGTCAAATAAAACATAACTAAAATATTTTGATCATATTAAATAATTTTAAAAATAATTATTACATTATTTTAGAAATTAAAATATATAAATAATTAAAACTATTTATAATTATATTAAAATTCCCTAATATTCAAATTGTGCATCTTGTGCGCCATTGCGGACACGGCGCAAATTGCGCGAACAAACTTCAACATGTGTGTTGCGCCATGCATCTTGCATCATAGGTGAGCCACGTCATGCGCCATGGCGGGCGCCATTTTGCGCCATTGACAACTATGTACTGGGCAACGAAGATAGTTTAATAGGGAAGAAAAGTAGCCTAAATGTTGAGGATGGTACGAGTTGGAGGAAAAAAACTACTAATGATCTCCAATGACCATAATAGTTTTTAACAGCATAGTACATCTTTCAAGAGATTAACAACGGAAAAAAGACAATGAAAAAATAAAAGTACATAGAAAAGTGAGAAAGAGAGAGGTGGGAAGGAGAGATTATAGGCAGGGAGGATGAAGCAAAATGCCAATTTGGCTGTCAAAAATAAACTTGGAAAGGATGTGTCTGAAGCTTTGAGGAGGCCAACGTGGGCACCTGGTAAAAAGGCCAGCAGCCAAAAACACCATGAACTTCAGGATGATGTCAGAAAACAGATGGGATAAGAGAAAGAAAAGTAATAATGAAGAAATGTGATTCACGTATGAATGGAGTCAAAGAGGCAAGAGAGCACCAACTGGAGATGACTTGAGATGGCATCAACTGAGGTGAAGGAATGGAGAATAATGATATTGAGAGAAGAACAAGTAAAAAAGGCTAGAGAATTAGCAGACTGAAGAGTAGGAGAGAAGGAAAGATGAAATTATAACTACATGTCAGTTACACTGCCTAGAAGAGTTTTATTAACTCCAAACTATTCAACACTCAAGCTTTAACACAAATGGATTCATTTTATGAGTATGGCGTAAGTGTTGTGATCGGCTATCAACCAAAGATCAATACTCAACCATTCTAATTCAGGCGTGGGACAAGAAATAATGGTTTTAGGTCAAGTATAAGGTGATCATAACATTTTAAAAACACCAGAAATATGGCATAATGCTCAAATATATTGCTAGGAAGGAACCTTATCATACCAACATAGAATTAAAATAGATGTAGAATATAATTTTCAGCAATATAAGAAAGTATGACTTGAAAGGCTGGCAGTTAGAAAGATATTTGTTAATGAAATCAAAAAAGTATTATTTTCATACAAAGTTGCTATAACAAACAAGGTTTGTTTCTAATTTATTATCCTGACCAAATCATAAATTTGTTGCCAATTGTATAAGATAGCCACAAAGAAATCATAAAAGATCAAATAAATACCGCATGGATAAGACGAAAGCCTGACACCAAAATTCCAACTAGCTCAACTATAGATTATACTTAAAATTCGGACATGAATGTAAGGGTAAGAAAATGTTTTGATTTTGTTTCAACCTCGATCTGATATGTCACTAGTATAACCCCCAAGACTGAAAGGAACATGAATATACAAGTGTGTATGGGTTGTATGGCTTTCTTCTGTGCCCACAGCATAAAAGTTAAACTTCCTAATAAATAATAGTCAAAGTTGTTAAACGATGGATTATAAAGTCCACTAGAAATTTTAATTTAATGTATTAATCATCGAACCACTAAACTTTAGAGTAGCTATGTTCTTTCAATTGATATGATTTCCTTTGCCACACTGTTCGAATGCGCGTGGGCTGGGCAGTTAGGGGTGAGGGAACCTCATGCCATGTATTGTAGCTTCACCTTTCTCGTCAATAAGAAACCCAGATAGCACTAAAAGCAAGCTATATATCAGATCTTTGTTGAGAATATCAGAATCTAAAACAGATAAACTATCCAACAATAATGGCAAGACCTGCATAACGAAATAGAACCAGATTCAGCAAAATCATAATCATAGTTTCGTCAAAATGCAAAAATGAAAGTTTTGACTCAACTGGAGACAATATCTCCAAAACAAACCTTCTTTGCATCTGCAACAAGAACGGTCAATGGCATCCCAGAAATAGTGTGGCCAAAAGCTCGATAAAGTAAAGCTCTGTATTTTAGGAGTATAATTAATAAACAAAAGTATAATAATCATCCAGATAATGGTGAAGATGAAAGAATTGAACAGTAACTGCAAAGTAGCCCGGTCCAACTATTCTTCGAAAATAAAATTACTTATGTACACAAGGTAAAAGCAAGTAAAATAGCATGCAAAATCAATAAGAATGGCTCTGTAAGCAACAAAGAGCTCGCTGATCAGGAAAATAATCAAAGGCCACAAGATTTGTATTGGCAAATAAGAGATTCATTTTAGTAAGCATACCAAATAATTTCTCTTTTTGTCAAACCAAGTGAAATTATGATATTGTTCGACAGAGGAAAATTCCTAATTACAAAAATTGTAACCAAAGAAAGCATGGTAACTTTCTGAAAATTGTATATAAAAAAATTTGGAAATGTCACAACAAATAGATTTTATGTTGCATTATAATGACAGATATCTGAAGTAAATATTGAGGATGAAGAGGATGAGTAGATGACACAAAAGGAAGAATAGAGAAGAGAATAGATGATGAAAAAAATATATAGTAATATTAGAATAACCCAAGCTATAGAAGCTACAAACTTCAAGTAATTTAACTATGAATTTTTAAGATAGATTAGTCTAGTAAGATTTCAAAACATAGAACGCAATGGAACTTGAAAATTCACCATTTTTTACAGCAGAACCATGTGATATTTCTTTTTTTCATTCCCTTGAAAAGTACTCTTTATTCTTCAATAAATTTATAAGTGATAGCTATTGATTTCTCAGGAATTCACTTCGCTTGGATAAGAGCCTATAAATTGTATTGTCTTGACGGTGTAGCACTTGTCAAGGCATTTATATAATGACACTCAGTAAGCAAATGTAATATCAAGAGGAAAAGGAGGCCTGTGAACTACAGTACAGAAATGGACAAATCTACCACACTATAGAGTGGGGAAAACAGTAGTTTAAAGGCTGAAAGTGTTACTTTGTTCTTGGTGAATTACATTCCTTAATGGCTGAGTGCAAAACTGGCAGCATACTCGAGAAGAACCTTTGCTTATAGAGAGGCCTTATAATTGCATGGAAATTTTTATTCAGGCAAACATCAGAGTCACTCAAAAGCAAATGGAATGCATCAGCTGCTGATCTCGCAACAAGATAGTGCATATCCTCTCCAATGAAATTGCCGGATTGATGATGGGAAGATGATGGAACAATATTCTTATTTGATAGCAAACACTTCAAAATAACCATTGATATGTCTTTAACTCGACCATGTCCCCGCATTAGTAAGGCTTTCCCAAACCATGCAATCCCAATGACAGCATTGATTTGTAAGTTTGAACAAAAATGCATGGAAGCACCATCATTGCTGTTAAGCATATGAGGTTCATTTTGATGGTTATTACTGAGTACACTGGAAAAAGAGTCAAGAATCATCTCAATAGTTTCTTCAAGGATGACAGCATTAGGTAACTTGTTAGCAACCGAAGCCAAGGCTTGAGCTGCAGGAAGATGCCCTTTAAGTGTAAAAACCAAGAGAAGGTTCAGCAATCTTGCCACATTAGTTAGTGGTGTTTGCTGATGAAGGGCCGTCACAATCGATGCAAGAAAGTATAGAAGCATTTTATTTTTACATGATAATTCACAGAAATCTGGAATAAGTTGAAACCCTTCCAGTATACTGGAAGAAACAAGGAGAGCATTTGATGGAAGATTCGCTGATGCTAGCATAATATTATATGCCTTTTCTAGGATTATATACTGGTTGTTCTCCGCACAGCCCCTGACAACAAGCTTCATTGTCATCATCATTTTATCCAGTAGATCCTACATGTAAAATACAACTAAGCCATCATCAGAAATCAATATAGAGATTGACATGACTTTTTTAAATAAGTTAATCATCTGCAAAATTTATTAGGCATCTCTAAAACACCAAGAAGACTTCTGAGCAAGTTAAAGATATTGTACTAACAATTAACTAAGAATGCTCGATTTTATTCTATCCTTTTAACTACGCAGTTTCAACCAAATTGATTTATATTCCTAAAAGAGTATTAAGCACCAGTACCTGCATTTCAGGCTTCATCTTAAAAGCAATATTATCTTCCATCTGCTCTAATATATTGATAACAAAATGCATCCCAGGTTGCTCAATGCTTCCAGAGGTATGGCACCTGATCCAGAATTAAACATAAATAAATTCAGCCACTTCTCAAGAAAACATTCCCAGTACTACGGAAAATAATTATCTTACCTTAAAACATCAATATTAAGAAGCAACAAAATGACGAATTCACAGAGAAAGACCAAGCAAGTACTTTTGAATACCTATATTGATAAGGGTTTTGAAATCACCAACTATAAAAAGGTGATTAGGATCATACAACACAGGTATGCAAAAGCTTAGCAACATGAATAAGCGCTTGGATATTTCACAAATTAGCACATTAAGTGAAGCAACTGAACCATTTATGCTACATTCAATACTAAGGTTGGCCTTCAATATAAGCATGTAGTTCCAACATTCGTGAAACTAAAGGAACAAAATCACTCATTTTGGGAAGTTCCACCAATTATAAAAAATAATGAGGCCAGTAACAAGGATCACATTTTCATAAATCAAACATATTCAATCTAAAGAACAGCTCTAATACCAAAGATATGCTTATAGCTAGATCAAAGGGTTTCTGCTAATTTTACTGTTTTGAGTTTTATTCAAAAATACTGTTGCATTCGAGAATTTAATATTCTGACAGATAACGACAAAATAACAATGCTTCTAGCCATGACGTCAAAACAAAGTCAACAACCGCAAACAATTCTAGAAAATTCATTTGATGCATACAATACATCAGCCCTAAAAACAATGGATATCTATCATCAACATTTGATGGATGGTGATCAAGCAGTCACTGGACGAGGTTCAAGCTGTTAGAGAGGGCTAAATGAAAAATTAGATCTGTCTACAACATAAAAAGCAGTACACCAAAGAGATTTTATAGCAAGACAGACCTAGCTACAATTCAACATTGTTGCCATGTCCCAAGTCCTGGATAAGAAAAGTGGAGGGTTGCATTAGATGATCGACAACTAGCATAAAACTTGTCGAATAATCATGACATGAATCATTTAATACATTGTGTTAATGCTACGCCGTTCCCTGTAAGCGACGTGTTGTATGGCCTAAATACAGCTACAAGTGTGTAAGGGTCATTGCACCGGCGTCCGGGTGCAATGTTAAATAGGCAAAGGTTCCCACATCATGGATAGATATGAGCAAAGAAGCTAACCCATGAAACTAAAATTAAGATTGGAACTTGGAATATAGATTCCCTTACAGGCAAATTAATGAAATTAATATATATTATAAAAAAATGAAATTAATATATATTATGATTTATAGGAAGATAAATATTCTATGCATTCAACAAACTAAATGGGCTAGAAAGAAGGCCAAGGAAATTGATAATTCAATATTCAAATTATAGTATTCCGGTAGGAGTTGTACTAGAAATGATATAAGTGTGATTATAGATAAGAGTTTAAAAGATAATGTTGTAAAAATTAATAGAATTATAGATCGAATTAGAGTTTTAAAGACTGTTGTTGATTATTAAGATTATTAATATTATAAGTGTTTATGCTCCCAAAGTAGGTTTAAATATGTATTCAAAATTAAAAAATTTAATGACCTAAAAAATTTAATATAAAAGATCTCTTGAATAAAAAGGGTTTTTAATGGAGGAGATTTAAAAGGACGTTTGGTAGAGAGCTATAAATTTAGAAGCATTCATGGTGGTTATGGATTTAGAGCGACTAATGAAGGTGGTAAGATCATATTAATTTTTTCTTTAGCTTCTAATTTGGTAATTGTGAATATCTTATCTAAGAAAAAAATGAGCATCTCATCACCTATAAGAATGGTTATAGTAAACCTTAAATTGATTATTTTCTTCTAAGAAAAATAAATCATTTAGATTGCAACGATTGTAAAGTTATTCCGAGTGAAAATTTATGTACCAACATTGCTTATTAGTTTTAGACTTTAAGATGAAGGGGAAAAAATTAAAAAATAAAGTAAATCATTGTTCTAAGATTAAATGGGGGCATTTAAAGAATATTAATTAAAATACTTTTGAGAGTAAGATTAAATTTTGTATGTGCACGAAGAAGCTAATGTTATATGGGAAAAAGTAGCTAGTGATATTAAAAATATTGCAAAAGATGTGTTTCGAGTATCAAAGTGAAAAACTACTAATAGTGAAAATAGTTGGTTATATAATCAAAATGTATAAGAAAATATAAAAAAATAAAAAGATTTGTTATAAAAATTGATTTAGATGTAAAAATTATGATAATTAGGAAAGATATAAAGAGGCATATAAGAAGTCTAAGAAAGCAATGTACAATGAAAAGATTTTAGTTTTTAATGATTTATATTATAGTTTAAAATTACGCAATAAGAGGCACGCCTCTGCGAAAATTTGGACCAAAAACGCCTCATTGCCTAAGCAATTTTGGTGTTTGCTGAGGCTTACGCCTCAAGCTTGGTGAGGCACGCCTCAATTGCGCAATTAATGTTGAGGTGTGCGCCTCATAGAAAGGGTCCCACTTACTTAGCATAAAAATGAATTTTGTTTCTCCCTTCTACCGGTCCAAGCCAAACCGCAAGCTCCCGAACCCGCAAGCCTTCGTTCCCGATCCCGCAAGCTCCCGAAGCCGGCTATCCCGCACGTCTCTGCCGCTACTCCCGCCGGCGCCGCCTCTTGCCGATGAGTTCCTTATTTCTAGCCGCCCCTCTACATCACTTCTTGAAGAGTAGAGTTTTTTTTTTTTTTAAGTTTAGGGTATGATTTTTCAACTTATATGAAAGCTAGGGTTTTAAATTTTGTTTGAGTTTTTTTTATTTTATTTTGCTTTTTTCCTTTAGAAAATATGGTTAAGGGCAAGGAAAAGTGTAATACGTCAGTGCGGAGGGACCCTTGTGGAAATATAGTGTACAAGTTGACATAAGCGGCGGTGAGAAGACTTATGTGTATTTGAAATGCAATTTTTGCGAAAAAGTGGTGAAGGGCAGAGTTACCCGAATGAAGGAACACTTATCATGCTCTCATAAAAACGTAGCACCGTATGCCAATGTGCCGGACAAGGAGAATGATGAAATTATTGCTTACAAAAAGTAAAGTACCACGACAAAACACTTACAACAGGAGCAATTTGATGACAAGGTCGAACATGGTGCTTACTTCGGGAGCGAGAGTGGAAAGTGCTCTTCCTCCACTATACATAATAAAGGAGCACGGGGTCCGATGGACCAATATATGACTAATCCAGGAGTGGATAGAGGACAAGCACAAATGATGCCTATTGCTGGTACCAGAGAGGTTCGACGCCAGGTTTGCATGGATATTAGTATTTTTTTTTTTTTTTGAGAATGTCATAACATTTAATGTTGCAACATCGTCGGCCTACTTCAATATGCTGCGGTCTATAGGATAGTATGGGAGAGGGTTGAAGGCACCTTCCATGTATGAGTTGCGAAGATGGATATTGAAGGAGGAGCTGCATAACACAGAGTATAGCATTGACGAAATTAAACGGACATGGATTGAGACTGGTGTTAACATTATGTCAGATGGATAGTCTGACATGAAAAGCAGGAGCTTGATTAATATCCTTGTTAACAATCCCTACGGCATGGTATTTACGATCAGTTGAAGCTTCATATGAGGATAAAAATGCTGCATTCATTTTCAATTTATTAGATAGGGTTGTTGATGAGATTGGGGAGCAATTGGTTGTTCAGGTGGTGATTGACAATGTCAGTGCATACAAAGCAGCTGATCAGATATTGATGGAGAAGAGGAAACACCTATATTGGACCCTCTGCGCAGCGCATTGTATCGATCTCATATTGGAGGAACTTGGTGATTTACCTCAACACAAGCGCGCTCTTTCTAGGGTGAAGAAGATCACAAAATTCATCTACAACCACTCATGGGTCTTAGTCTTGATGAGAAAGTTTTCAAAAAAGGAAATCATTCGCCCTGCAACCACTAGGTTCGTTATTACATTTGTGCACTGCAAATAATTTTCAATTCCTAATGCAAGTTTATTCTACCGGTTTGCCACATCTTATTTGACACTGCATAGCCTATTGGATGTGAGACAACCTCTTAAAGCAATGTTTAAATCAACAGAATGGCTTAACTTTGCGTGGGAAAAGAAAACTGAGGGGAAGGAAATACGAAGCTAATTCTGAATGATAAATTTTGGGCTACTGTGACCTATGCCATATTGAGGACGAGACCCTTAGTGCAAGTTCTACGTTTAGTAGAGGCCGAGAAGAAACCAGCCATGAGTTTTATTTATAATGCTATGGATGAGGCAAAGGAGTTGATTACACATAACTTAGGAGGAGAGGAGGCAAGTTATAGAGAGATTTGGGATATCATTGATGCTCGATGGAAAGTCCAGTTACACCGTCATCTACATGCAGCGGCATATTATCTCAATCCTCAATTTTAATATTCAAAGAGGAAATCCTCAAACCATGAGGTGAAGCTTAGCTTGTATCATTGCATGGAACAGCTAATATCGGACCAGACAGTCAAGGAGCTGCAGATTTACAACTTGTTCTATTTCGAAATAGGGAGGGATTTTTTGATCTGCAAGCAGCAAAATCAACTGTTATCAAACGGTCTCCAGGTATACTTATTTTAGTAAATGCATAACACTTTAATATGTTATGATGATCATTTTTTTCTTGGAAATAGTTGAATAGTGGATCCAATTTAGCGATTCAACTCCTGAATTACAGAGTTTTACTGTTAGAGTTTTGGGCTCACTTGTTCTTCTTCTGGGTGTGAGCGAAACTGTAGTACATATAGTTAAGCGCAAACAAAGAGAAGAAATTGGCTTTCAACACTCAGAATGAACTCCCTTGTGTATATTATGCACAACAAGAGGTTGAGAGATAGGAGATTGAGGAATAAGGGGTTGAAGAATGATGAGAACCCGTTGGTGTGTGATGATGTGTCATCTGATAATGAGTGATTCATAGATGATGAGAAAGATTTGCCATTATCAGACCTGCAGCTAGAGGATCTATGTGTAGAAGTCTTAAAGGGCGAAACAGATCAAGTGGACACTTCCACTAGTACCACACCACACA